ACTGATAGTCAAAAATATGAGCAATCATTGTTTAACAATAGCAGAAGTAGTGGTGGAAACAGAAATAGGAGCTATCATTTATTAAGTACCTATTATGTGCCAGACACTGCACCAGATACTTTGAAATATATCATTTAATTTAATGTTCACAATTACTAGGAAAGATTTTAGTCAAAGGAGATGACGTGACTGTAGCTTGAGTTCTGGATCAAAAAAAGTCATCTGCTCCAAAAATAAAATTGCTCCTATACAATTTTGGTAATTCTTTGGTTGAAATTCAGACAATAACTACTGGGAAAAATGTACCAAGAGACTGGTACATCCTCACCTGTAAATCCTTTGTACTGTAGGTGCAGCAAGCAGACCCTCCTAACACATTTTGAATTTCTTCATTCTTGAAACTCTGCTTTAAATTCAAAGAAAGTGCTTTCTTTTTGGAAACCAAATCTTGACTGCAAAAATCCTGCTGCGGTTGGTAAAGCATGCCTCTTATCATTTGCAAGCGCACAGAGTCTAAAGAGCTTTCACAGATAGCACCCCTCTGTCTTTCACCTGTGTTGCTAAAACGCATTGCAGAACCAGCCTCGGCAAAGAAGCCATCAGTTACGTTCGTATCAACTCTGTTTGGAGCAGTCAAGTTGCACTGGGATGTGTTCTGGTATTTCAGCCACTTGCTTTGAGTAGATATATTATCGAGAAGTGACACATCCCCTCGAGTCACTGCCGTAGATTCTTTAGAGAAAGAAGTTTCACTTTGGTCCTCAGGCCCAAAGCTAAACAAAGGAACTGCAGACTCCTCACACGAGTTGAACATGGGGGAAGCAGAAGATTCTTGCGTGTTACAGTTGAACACATGTGCACAAGAATCTAAGTCAGGTGGCCCGTGAGTAGGTGGCAAAGTAGTAAGTGGAACTTGGCTTCTACTTACTAATGAAAGCCTTTGAAGGTTCTCATTCTCCAGCGAACTGGATTTTTTTGTTCCTGAAAGAAAACAGAATGCCAATTAAATTAAAATGTGCCACCAGTCAGCATCCAGGCTTTAGAAAACAGTGGGTATCTATACAAAAGCAAAAGGGAGTAACTTGCCCCGAAAAAAAAATCACATAATTTTATTGCCTTTAAAAATAATTAACTGTTTTAACCTCAAAAAATAAAGATTTCAAAAACTCAGTTCACAGACTGAAACTTTTTTGAGGTTGATGAACTTGTCCTTCTCTTTTTCTTTTCCTCCTTAGCTAAGGATTTTTTTCCCTAATTACTACATTATGTTTATATAGCACTTAAGTTTTCAAAGCACTTTAAAGCCAACTAAAAAATGCATCCTTCTCATTTCACAAATGAGATTACAGAGGCCTAAAGGCAACATGACTGGCAACTGGCAGAGTCAGGATGAGAACCCAGACTAGTTTTTGATATCTACTTTATATTCCTTCTCGAGAGACTGAAGTTCATGGTTCATTTATAGGATGGTGACTGTAATTTCCTTCGTATATTTATTACACTCACATTATCCTTCAGAGTAATGAAGATTTTAGCTTTATTTTTATCTAGCAGTATGTGACAAGAGTAAAATTCTGGTAAACGCATGGCAGATTTTATCTGAAAGAGTTTTATAATTCCTTCTGTCAGCAGCTTTCATAATAGATACATCCCTAAAAATGTAAGAGGCAATAAATATTTGTTGAATGTATAAATATAAATACTTCATGGGAACCATACAAGCTTAATGTTTTTATCTGACAATGCTATGGACTCCTATTTTATAATAATGTACTTTCCTGACAGTTTCTATTTTGTGGGAAATAAACACTGGAGATTATTTGGAAAGTAGTAAAGTGGTAGGTGAGCCGATGAATATTCTTTCATAAAGTGCTATATTGTAATTCTAACAAGTCAATCAAGCAACACTGACAGAAAAGTTAAAACTCCATCAAAGAAATAAAAGATTCATAGCATAATTGTGAAAATCATCTATTATTCGATTGCCACTTCACTTGTTTTAAAATACTCACTCCTCCCATACTCTTTCCTACCTTGTTGCCTTCCACCGACCACACCCACTAAATCTTCTCCAACCCAACTACCAATTCACATTACAAAATTTTCCTTTTTTATATCATCTCCACAACCAAAAAAATCACCTACAACTTCACCCCTCACCCAACATAACTCTATAATCAGGGGAAGATATATTGATCAGAGTATAAGAAAAGAGAGAACAAAAGAAAAGTTAGTGGAAGGAATCCTATGGAATAGGATTATACTTAAGAAGCAGGAAATTGCTGGGTGTGGTGGCTCATGCATGCAATCCTTGAGGTCAGGAGCTCGAGACCAGACTGAGCAAGAGTGAGACCCTGTCGCTACTAAAAATAGAAAAAATTAGCCGGGTATGGTGGCGTGTGCCTATAGTCCCAGCTACTTATGAGGCTGAGGCAGGAGTATCACTTGAACCCAGGAGTTGGAGGTTGCTGTGAGCTATGAAGATACCACTGTGCTCTAGCCCGTGTGACAGAGCAAGACACTGTTTCAAAAAAAAAAGAAGAAGCAAGGAATAACTTACAGTGAAAGGTCAAAATGTATAAAAACACAGAGTCCTGAGAGTGCAATGGGGGTAGCAGCAGTTGAAGAGTTTCCTGCTACTGCCAGGATCCCACAACAAAAAAAGGGGAGACGAAGAGGTTATGCTAAGGTCAACCAATGATGTTGATGAGACATCACAGTGAGTCATTCCCCTGGGACAGGAAGGGCCTATAGAGGGGTCAGGCTGTGGACTTATAGCTGTGAGATGTATTGACAATGATGGAAGACACTTTCAGAGGTCTGTGATGAGAAAGTTGGGAGGAGAAGTAAGAAGGAACTAGAGAGCTAGAAGGGAGTATTATACTTGGAACAGCTATCCATAATATTACAGAGAAAGTTAAAAGAATGGTATGGGAAGGAAGGCTTCAAGGGGGATGACACTGAATCTAGTTCTAAGATATATTTAGTTTAATAACAATCTCTCAAATATAAAGTTTCACTTTACATCGACAGACAGATATTAGAGCAATATGGTAACAACTACCCTCCAAGTTGAGAAAGTGAAGATCACCAGGTAAGGTTCTTGCTTTCAGGGACTTCTCAGAGAATTCTAGCATGAAATCTTCATCTCTTGAGTTCAAAGAAAACATAGATACAGGGCTCAACGTAGAGATCTTTTGTTCTGGTGATGTTGACTATCCAGAAAGAAGAAACAAAGCCTCAGATCAAAATATTCTTATTGCATGTTTTCCCTATAGTTTGAATGATTTCTAGTAATCTATATTATAAAAATAATGATTTCAAGCACATTTTGATTTGAGTTATGCTTCTTGTCAATTTACTGTACTCCTTTTTAACTTATAACTGTACCAAGACTTTACTATCTTTACAAAATCTGGTACTGACATAAGGAAAATGATTTGGCAAAGTACAACTATAAGAATATTTTTACCTGCAAGAAGTCAGTCTGCGTACATGTGCTGGGCAACTTTGGTGTCAAAAAACAAGCGTCTGTCATGAAGTTTCCACACTCAGTGCTGTCTGGAAAGTGACTGCCCCCCAGCTGTGCGCTGTGTCCTCTGATCATCACACCACTAGTGGCGGATCCTTTCACTTGATGCCCTTGAAACTCAACAGGCTACAGGTAAATTATGAAAAATAAGAACTGCGCAAGTATATGTTGACATATATATCCATTCACGATGTCTATGCATAGAATATAATACATAATTCAGCTTTTTATTATATGTTACTTAAAGTAAATAATTACCAGGGGACTAATGCTGAAAACCAGGAAATATTCCTATTATCCCAAAACATATATTAAGAATAACTAATTTAAACTGTATCAGTTTATCTACATTCAACATTAAAAAGTATGATTTTTTTTAAATTATAAGCATAAGGATGAACATAATAATAATGACTAAGCCAGATTTAGTTGCTCCTTTCTCTGTGTTTCCACTACATATGACACAACTATACATTACATACAATACTGTACACTACAGACTGGTAACTTCATACACCAGTGAAGTTTCTCCTTCCCTAGATACTAATTGTACTGGAAGCTCCTTGAGGGCAGAGGCTTTGGGCTTTATCTAGGTATCATGTGTATTTAACACAGCACTTGGCATACAGGAAGCAATCAGTAAATATATGATAATAGAAAGGGAAGAAAGACAAGGAAGGCAGGAAGCATTTTTCTTTGCATAAGGGTTTTATAGACTATCAGGCTTAACTGCAAGATGGATGGCGGGCTCTCTGCCTTCTAGTAGAAGATCTGATATCCTACTGCTCTGGGAGCAAAGGCCTAAGAGTTATGATTCCAACACAAACAGACCTCAGAGAGGGGTTTTCACCCCCTTATGCTGGTTTGCTTTCAGGCTTCAAGTAGCTTTCTCTGCTGCCCCCTTGAGGGTGCTAGGATTTTTCCTCTACCCAGGGTAACAAAGCCTACCCAGAATGTGGAAAAAAAGACTGCTAAGACAGTCAAAGGAATGTAAACAAAGGATTAATTTATTTCTAACTGATAAATTAACAAAAAGGCAATAATATATAATCTGAATATACCCACTAGAAAATGCAGATTCTAAATCACATATTTGAAAGGGAAATCAAATCTAAATGCCCCTTTATATAGGATTTTCGATGAAAATATTCTTCTGAAGTTAAAAACATATATTTCAATAAAAGCAAGTCTCAACTCTTAAAGGTTCTGTCTATTTCTGCTTTGTTTGATGGGTAATGTATACACTCCCCACAAGGAAACAGCTGTCTTGTCTTCTAGGCTGCCACGGAGATCTCTTCCAGCGGTATGTTGGGTTTTAGGAGTAGAACCACTATTTACAAAACCCAACCACTTATATGCTGTTTGTCAATTTTTGATGTGAAACAGATAACACTATTTAGAGCTTGGGTTACATATACTTCTATATATTCAGTCAGAAGTAGAAGTGGTTGAGTAGGCTATAATAAGTTAAAGGCTATAAAGATAACCATTTTATTCTCCATAGAACATCCATCAATTGTACTCTACATAGCTTTTCGTCCAACTCCTAGTGTACCCTATGTATGTATGGATATTGCATACACTGCATGATTAGCTCATTAGTAGTACAGAGGAAGTTCAAGACCAAAAAAAACAAACAAACAGGAAAACACAGCTGGTCAGAAAATCAATATTCTTCACAAATTTTACCTTAGGGTCACAGGTTTTTCTCTCTATTTGTTTGGAAGTAACAGCTAGAAAAGCAGTCTCTTCTTCACTTCCCAAGGAAAAGAACTAGAATAAAATATCAGTAAATTATCTAGTTATCTATCTAGTTATCTAGAATAGTTCTGCAGGTGGTTCATGATTTTGATAGAAAAATACTTGTTAAACTTAAAGGTTAAGCTTGCCCTGTGAAAGCATACTTGCCATCTCCACCTTGCTTCTCTTTATACATACATACAACAAGCTATCCCTGGCAAAGGAGTGCTCTAGCAGATATGTCATTATGTTAATTAACTTGAAAATTCACCATATTAGTCAATTCTGATTCTAAATTTTTAATTGAATCTTTTGACAGAGAAAAAATGGTTGAGTACATAATAAATTACCCATCACACCTAATGCTATATTAATGCAGATCATTTAATTAAAAATTAGTAAGAAATTAAAGGAGGAAAAATTATAAACAGTGTTAACAGTCTATTTAAATAATGAATCATCTTTTAGCAATTGTAAAACACATGATATTGACAACAGCAACTAGTCATTTTTAGTTCGAGTAACATATAAAATAACCATAATTTTTAATATGAATTGGACAGACAAAAAATGAGTTCAACTGCAGA